GGAAGGAAGGTTGGGCAATCCTACTTCCGTAGTGATACTGCCTTGGAAACCCAAGGAGGGGTCGCTATGAGTCCGGGCCGACTCAATGGCAAATAACAACAATAAAAATTATAATAATGCTTGGATATATATCTAGAATCATTTTAGTTACTGACATACAAAGCTCTAATTGTAAACCTCAGTCCTGATTATAAATAACTTAATAGAGTTACTCAAAATTCATATATACAGAAATACATAGTAGAAAGAGAAAGTTCTCCAAAATCCCATATCCTGTAACCACTGCCCACCAGCCACTCCTCGGAAGGAAGGTTGGGCATTCCTACTTCTGTAGTGATACTGCCTTGGAAACCCAAGGAGGGGTTGCTATGAGTCGGGACCGACTCAATGGCAGATAACAACAACAACAACGTAACCACTGCAGTAGCATTACTAGGGGACTGCAGGGGATGCGGACAGCACTTGGGTGTTGCTGTCAGAGGGGATGATGCCAAAATGTCTGTAAAATCTTTGTGTAGTGTTTCAGCAGAGATTGATTATTTCTGTATAAAAAATATTCTTATAGTTAGTTCTAACAACAAAAAATACTTTCATAAGTCCAGCTTTCATGTATCAGTAATCCTGCAAAGCTAAAACTCTGTGCTAATTTACTTTTTTGAACTTTCTAATGTGAACCCACCAGCCGCTCCCTGGAAGGAAAATTGGACAATCTACTTCCATAGTGGTACTGCCTCGGAAACCCAATGAGGGGTTGCTATGAGTCAGATCTGACTCGATGGCATTGAGTTCGTTGGTTTTTTTTGTTTTTTTTTTTTTTTTTTGGTTAATGTGCTCTAGTCAGAGCTGTCATTATTACTCAATTACAGTGATGCTTCAAATCGTGGTTTCGTCTATACACGCTAGAGATACACAGTTTTGATTCCATTGCTGCCAGTGATTTTATAGTCACTGATTTTGTCAGATGTTCAGGTGTCAGATGTTCAAATGTCTAATGTTATGATAATTAGTCTTTTTGAACTTCTATAAATAACTTTTTGAGAAGTAGTAATTAAAGGAAAAGGAGACAAATCAGAAAAGGCTTCCACTTGGTTACTAATAATGTTGTAACTAATGTAATTCAGTGTGGAGAGTTTTACAAAAGTTTCATTGTTCATATTCTTATAGTCTAAGAAATACTAATTTAAACAATTTAAAACTGTATTTATCACATATTTTTCTGCATTAAAATTGATAATAAACATTACTGAGTTTCTCTGTGGTCTAGTATGGGAGGTGGGTGACACCCTGAATTACTACACTGGGTGATACCAACCCTAGGGACACTGTTGAGGCTATCATTTCATTATAATTCCTTCAACTTTTCCTGTGCATGAACTAACATATACTCATTATTTTTAATAGGATCATTTGTTAATACACTTTGTGGGATGTGTTAGGCTGGGTTCTCTATAGAAAAGCAAAACCAGTAAAGCTTATATGTACATACAAAGAAAGAGAAATTTATCTTAGGAAAATGGGTCACATACTTAGAGAAGATGGCAAGTCCCAAGTTCTTGGATCAAACGTCAAGGTAGAGGCTTTTCCCGACTCACACAGCTGCAGGGGCTGAGGAGCTCAAGGTTGGGAGGCAGTATACCAGCTATTGATTCCAGCGAATGATGAATCCAAGATCTCCAGGCCGAATGGTGGATTGTTCGCCCACGGACAGTTGTAGACAGCACAACAGGATTCCAATCCACAGAAGAGTGTCTCTTTTTCCCAGGATGTCCATAACTATATTGGCCACATCCTTAAGGAAACTCCCTTTCAGCGGATTGGCTGCTCAAAACATACACATCCGATCCCATCATGGGAATAACCCACATCACAATTGCTTAAAGCACACAGAATTATGGTCCAGCCAAGTTGACACACAGCTCCAACTATCACATGGGGGTTTTTGGGTTTTGTTTTACTTAACCAGTTATCCTGAATGTCTTCTGTGGTGGATAAGGTTATGTGTCAACTTGGCTGGGCAGCTGGATGTAGTTATTCCCCATGAGATTGGCAATCAGTTCTCTGGCGGAATCTACTGGAACAGCTGAGTAGCTGCTTTAGGGATGTGGTCTGCTTTCAGTATATAAGAAGCAGTTTTGAGAAAGGTCTCTGCAGCTTTCTGGAATTCTTGGAGCCCTGCATGTAGCCAAGTCTTCAGTCAGCAGCCTGCCATATTTCCTGCTGATCTTGGGACTGTCTCTGGACTTGAATTAGTGACCTGCCATGTTGTTTGGGAATCTTGGAACTGTGCCATTTTATTTGTTGCCCTTGGGTTTGTCAGTCTCGGCAGCCATCAGCTTGCTGAGTTAAGCCTCCAGCTTCAGTGGGCCAGGAGCAAGAGGCAGAGCTAAAGCCCAAAGTTGAGGGGCTTTCACCCAGCGCCTGGAGCTGGCACTTTGAACTTGCACTTCTAGCCTCCTATACTGTAAAAGAATAAACTGCTGTTTGTTAAAGCCATCTACCCACCTGTGGTATTTTCTGTTAGAGAGGCAAAGGAGGTAACCAAAACATCTGCATAAATACACACATATGTGTATATTTAAATGTATGTACACATTTATCTCATTCTTTTTTAGCAGGCACATAATACATTTATAGGCAGCAAAAAAAGGAGCATACTTTGTATGCTAGTTGCTCTGCATGGCATTTGTAAGTAGAGGATAAGTAAAAAATGAGATGATTTTTTTAATAGTGATAGGACAAAGAAAAGGAAAGGGGATATGAACAGTAGAAACAAAAGGTTGAAAGTGAGTGATATTGTTTAGCAGAATACCTTCTGTCAGTATAGAAAGCCAGTACTGATAAGTCAGAAGAGAGGTATTTTTACTATAGAGGAGGCATGGAACCCTTAGCTAAACTATCAAATACTAGGGGTATCAATATACCACTATATATATCTTGTGATAAAGTGAAAGGAATGTTTAAGATTATAGTTCTAGCACTGCTCCATATTCATATAAAAATAAAAACCAGACTAGTTGTCATTGAGTAAATTCCAACTCATGGCAACCCCATGTGTAGCCCTGATAAAAGCACCTATGTTGTCTATCATAGACTTAATGAGCATATGAAATAAAGTGATACAATAACTAAAATAAAGTAATATAATTAAGCACTTTGGAAACTATAAAACATGAAAATGTAAATATTACGGTTTTAATAAAAATGTATTAGCCCTTTTATTAATTTGTACTGTTGAGTCAGTTTTTGACACACCGACCCCATGTGACAAACTAGAACTGCCCCATAGAGTTTTCCAGACTATAATCTTTTTGGGACCAGATGGCCAGGTCTTTCTTCCACAGAGCTGCTGGGTGGGTTCAAACCACCAAACTTTCATTTAGTAATTGAGTGCTTAACCATTAAATTCTGAAAGTATCCTTTAGAAGGACTGTTACTCTGTTAGAGATTAATTACAATTGCAGGCATCTTATCCTTTTTACCTCATTGAATCAACCAGAGTTGCTGCATTATCATGCACTATATCGAACTTTTAAAATTACCTTTTAAATTATTTTTCAAACTCTTATTTACCTAGGATGTTACTGAAGTATTCAGAGCAGTATGGCAAAACTGTGGCCTCATACATATTTGCTTAAATGTTGACTTCATCTGATGAAAAAGATAATGAGCAAAACTCCTGAAAACTTTTAGCTTATTAACTTGAAAGATATTGAGATAACTTCTTTTGACCCTCTCCTAACAAAATATAAAGGCTAAGTATCATTCTTCACTTATTGTATATTTTGCATAGTCTACAAATATCTTCTAGTATGTGACACTTACAAATCAGATAACCATCAATATTTTGCTTGAGCATAATGTCCCAAGAAATTTGCTGTTTTCCCTACCATGTTACTTGTTACTAATAGACTTATTTCCTATTTTGTTTCTTCTTTTTTATCCCTCCCTCCTTTTTTTTTTTAACTCTAGTTTTTAGATGAAGACTTGAAGATAGCTGGGAAATACAAAGGAAATGATTATAGCCAGTATTCTCCCTGGTCATGTGACACTATCGGCTCCTACATTGGGACCAAAGATGTAAAACCCAAAGATGTTGTGGCAGCAGGGAGTGTGGAAATGATGGTATGTGTAATAACTAACCCATAGTAGTACAAATCAAGATAAACCAAAGTCAGCCATTATAGTTTAAGCACAAATATTTGAGCTTTGCTTAAGAGTTTCCAACCATGTTCTATTCCTTGCACATTAAACTCCATTATTATTTGTTTATTTCAAGTATAGATAAAAAAATTTTTGTATTTGTTACATTTCTATGTAGACAACAATTTCACTAGAGTTGTTTACAGCTGCATAATATATTAAGGTCAGAAAAAAATTCTTAAATTATTTTTGCATAATTAAGACTTGATTTTTTCACCTGACAAGTTATAACTCTCTTCTACACCTTAGAAGTTTAAACAACAAAAATGATTGTAGTAAACAAGTAGTATTTGAATCAGACTATAACTGCTTCATTTCAAATGAGCTATGAGAATCTAGAATTTTTTACAGTCCACTTATTTTTGTTTTGTTTTTTATTTTGTTGTTGTTCTTGACAATATCCAGAGTAAAACATGTACCCGTTCAACAGTTTCTACAGGTACTATTTAGTGACATTGATTACATTCTTTGAGTTGTGTAACAGTTCTGCTTTTCTGAGTTTTCCTCCCCCATTAACATAAGTTCACTGTCCCCTAAGGTTCTATCTAATCTTTCAAGTTGCTAGTACTAATTTGATCCCATATAGATCTTCAAAGACCATACTGCTCAAGGCAGACATTTTTCACTAGTTAAGCTAAAACTACTGTGTGATTTTTAAGAAGACTTCAGGTGATATTTCAAGGTTTAAACATTTTAAGGTTTAAGGTTTAAAGATTATCTCAAGGTTTAAAAATTATCTTGAGGCAGTAGTTTCAGGTGTTTATCTAATGTTCATGGATCCAGGAAGTCTAGATTCCATAACAGCTGAAATTCTATGTGGCATTTCCCCCCCTTTTATCAGGTTTCTTCTGTAGAATCTTTGATCAAAATTTTCAGTGATGATAGCTGGGCACCATCTAGTTCTTCTGTTCTCAAGGCATTAGAGGCAGTTGTTCATGGAGGCAATTAGCCACACATTCCATATCCTCCTCCTATTCTTGATTCTCTTTCTTCCTTTTTTGCTTCAGGCAAATAGAGACCAATTGTGCCTTGTGTGGCCCAGGTACTATGCAACCAACTAGGAGGTAGAACAGAAGAACTTAACATGTTATTAGGCTGTCCTAATAACTGGGCTGTCCTGTGAAACCATGACCCTAAATCTCTGAAGAACCAAGTCCCTTCGTTCTTGGTTGTACATAAGCAGCCTCAGCAGCATTTTTTTTCTTTTTGTGTCATTGTTGTAATTATATCTATCATACAGCTTTTGCCAATTCAACTTTTTACAGGTGTGCAGCTTGTTGACAGAAATTACAATTGGCTATGCATTCTTGCCCTTGTGAGTGTACTTCCCCCTCCCTCCTGCCCCTGTGTTGTTGTTGTTGTTAGGTGCTGTGAGTCAATTCTAACTCATAGTGACCCTGTGTATAACAGAACAAAACGCTACCTGGTCCTGTGTCATCCTGACAATCCTTGCTATGTTTGAGCCCATCGTTTCAGCCACTGTGTCAGTCCATCTCATTGAAGGTCTTCCCCTTTTCACTTACCCTCTGCCTTACCAAGCATGATATCCACTAATAAACTTGGTTCTCTATACATTTGCCTTTTCATAACTTTTTATGTAATTGAAGTTATATAATGTTTTTTCTTTGGTAATTGACTTAATTTACTCAACATACTGTCTTCTAGCTCCATCCATATTGTACATGTATCATAACTTCATTTTTCCTACTGGCTAAGCGGTATTTCATTTTATGTATGCACGACATTGTGTTGATCCATTCATCTATTGTTGGGTTGTTCCCACCTTTGGGCTATTGTGAATAGTGCTGCAATGAGCAGCTCCTATACAAATAAATCTGTGTTTGAGTCTCTGTTTTCAGGTCTTTTGGGTATATAGCTAAGAGTGGAATTGCTGGGGCATGTGGTAGTTGGATTTTTGTGTTTTGAGAAACTACCACACTGTTTTCTGCAATGGCTATACCATTTCGCATTCCCACCAGCAATGGATTTTAATTTCTCTCTGTCGTCATCAATATTTGTTATTTTCTGTTTGTTTGTTTGCTTGTTTTTTTCATCCTAGAGGGAGTGAAATGGTATCTCATTCTGCTTTTGACTTGTATGTCTCTGATGCCTAGTGACATTGAACATCTTTTGATGTGTTCATTGGCCACTGAATGTCCTCTTTAGTAAAATATCTCTTCAGGTCCTTTGCTAGTTGTTAGGTTGTTGAAGTTTTATTTATATTTTGGTTATTAGATTCTTGTTGACATATGGTACCCAAGGATATTCTCCCAGTCAGTAGCCTGTCTTTTCAATTTTTTGGTAAGTGTTTTGATAACTTACTGATGGAGCTCAAAGACTGCAGCCTTCAGTATGGGTTACACTTCAACTTAAAACAAAAATCCTCACAACTGGACCGGTAAGCCAACATCATGATCAACAGAAAAAGATTGAAGTGGTCAAGGATACCATTTTTCTTAGATCCATAATCAATGAAAGTGGCAGTCAAAAAATCAAATGATGTATTTTGCATTAGGGAAAACTGCTGCAGAAGACCTCTAAACTGTTAAAAAAAACAATGATGTCACTTTGAGGACTGAGGAACACCTGACCCAGGCTAAGATATTTTTAATCATCTTATGTACATGCAGAAGCTGGGCAGTGAATAAAGAAGGCCAAAGAAGAATTGATGCATTTGAATTACGGTGATAGTGAAGAATAGTGAATATACCATGGAATGCCAGAATAACAAACAAGTCTGTCTTGAAAGAAGTACAGCCAGAATACTCCCTAGAAGCAAAAATAGTGAGACTTCATCTCACATACTTTACCAGCATGCACCAGTCCTTGGAGAAGGACATGTTATATCTAGTTTGGAAAAGTAGAGTCAGCGAGAAAGAGGAAGGCCCTCAAGAAATAGATTGACACAATGGTTGCCACAGCAGGCTCAAGCATAGCAATTATGGGGCTGGCACAGGGCAGGACATTATTTCACTGTGTTGTACATACGGTCACTATGAATCAGAGCCAACTTGACGGAACCTAACTTTTTTTTTTTTTTTTAATAAGATTTGGGTGATATTTTACAAAGCAAATTCACTTTACCTTCAACAGTTCATACACATTTTGTTTTGTGACACTGGTTACATTCCTCGTGGTGTAACAGCTTTCCTCCACTTCCTCCCTATAGTTAATCTTTGCCTGTGTCCTTCTTGCCTATGCATTCCTGCCTCCCTATCTTTCTCCCAGTGCAAATGCTGCCCTTCTCATCTCCCATAGTTGATAATTCTAAAGAGTACATCTCTCTCATGTGTGTTCAGCTCATAGGCCATCTATTGTTTGGCTAAGAGTTAAGCCACAGGAGTGAGTTCAATTTCAGGCCTAAAGGGTGACTCGGAGCGATAGTCTCAGGGTTTCATTAGTCTCTGTCAGACCAGTAAGCCTGGTCTTTTCTATGATTTTGAGTTTTGATCCAAAACTCATTTTTCTCCCACTGTATCCAGGACCTCCCATTTTGATATCATTTTGAGTGGTTGGCATTGGTAGTTCTTCTGGACTTAGGGTCATACATGTTGAAGTTTTCATGGTTCATTAGTCCTATGGACTAATTGTTTCCATGTGTCTTTGATTTTCTTCATTCTTTTCTGCTCTGGACAAGGAGAGACCAATAGTTGCATCTTAAATGGCTGCTCACAAGTTTTTAAGACCCTATTCTTTGCTCCCTGAAGAAAAATGTAGAATAATATTTTTGTGGCATGACTTAAAATGGGAAGAAACAGCTGCAAACATCCATTAATAACCAGAACATGGAATGTACAAACTCTGAATCTGAGAAAATTGGAAGTTGTAAAAAATGAAGTGGAATGCATAAGGATCGATATCCCAGGCTTTAGTGAGCTGAAATGGACTGGTTTTGGCCATTTTGAATCAGACAACCATATGATCTGCTATGCTGGGAATTACAGTTTGAAGAGGAATCATGTGACATTCATCATCATCGCAGAAAGTTTCAAGATCTATGCTGAAGTACAGTGCTGTCAGTGATAAGATATATTCACATGCCTGCAAGGAAGACCAGTTAATACTGTTGTTGTTATGTGCTGTCGAGTCAGACCCGACTCATAGCGATCCTTCCTTGGGTTTCCGAGGCAGTATCACTACGGAAGTAGATTGCCCCATCTTCCTTCCAAGGAGTGGCTGGTGGGTTTGAACTGCCAGTCTTCTGGTTAGCAGTCCAGTGCCTTAGGCACTATGCTACCAGAGCTCCTTAGTTAATACTACTGTTACTCAAATTTATGCACCAACAACCAAAGACAAAGATGAGAAAATGGAAAATTTCTACCAACTTCTCCAGTCTGAAATTGACCAAACATGCAGTCAAGATATGTTAATTATTACTGGTGATTGGAATGCAAAACTTGGAAACGAAGTATCACCAGTAGATGGTAAATCTGGCCTTGGTGACAGAAGTAATTCTGGAGATCGCATGATAGAATTTTGCAAGACCAACAACTTATTTATTGCAAATACCTTTTTTCAGCAAGACAGACAGCGGCTATACAAGTGGACTTAACCAGATGGAATATATAGGAATCAGATCAACTACATCTGTGGAAAGAGGTGATGGAGAAGCTCGATATCTTTAGCCAAAATAAGGCCAGGAGATGACTGCAAAACAGATCATCAACTGCTCATATGCAAGTTCAAGGTGAAGCTGAAGACAATTAAAACAAATCCATGAGAGCCAAACTATGACCTTGATTACATCCCTCCTGAATTTAGAGACCATCTAAAGGATAATTTGGTGGATTGAACACCAGTGACTGAAAACCAGAGGAATTGTGGGTTGACATCAAGAACATCATCCATGAAGAAAGCAAAAGGTCATTAAAAAACAGGAAAGGAAAAAAGACCAAAATGGATGTCAGAGAGACTCTGAAACT